CGCAGCCTTTGGCTGCCAGACCAAGCGCTGCCTGGGACTGCGCCTTTGCTCTGCCCTTGAATTTGCATCAGTCCCAGGCAGCGCTGAAGTGGATCAGCCCCCCCTCCTAGGATCTGCCTTCCCGCTAGCCATAAAAGATCATCACAAGCACTTGCTTTTCCTATTTAACTCCAGCTTTCTCCTCCAAGGGACCCAGCTGCTTCGCAAATCCCAGGCAATGCCTCGCAGACACGAAGCCACCCTGGGGAGGGCACCCCAGACGTCGGGGCAGGCGGGGGGCATGCGTGCCGCGGCGGATAACTGAACAGGCGCTGCCCCAGGAGGTGGGATGAAGAGGATGAACGCAGCCTTTGCAGGCAAAGAAACCCTTTGGGAGGAGGGAGCACGAGCCCTGTAGCTCAGGTACGCCTGCGAGCAGCGAACCCAGCCCTGCCCGGTGAGCAGTCCGACCCTGAGTCTGCTCCGTCCCTTCAGCAAACGTTTCTTGGACCAGCTCCTCTGCCCTGACACAAGGTGTTCTGTTCACCCCTGGCTTTATCACCCAGCGCCACCAAGAACTGTTTGGCTCCATCAGCTTCGTAGTTTGTGGGTCCTGGGCTTATACCTGCTGTGGTCGTGCACCTCAGGAGCAAGTAAAACCCTTCTGTCATTCTTGCCTTTAATTTCTTGCCTTGGATTTAGGTGCCAGCCAGAGAGAACCCTTGTGAGGTGCCCAGCCCCGCTTACCGCAGCTCCCTGGCTCGGCAGACCCAACCACAGGACCCAACTCTGGCTCCAGATGTGCAGCTCCTTCTCCTGGTGCAAAGCTACCCCAACCCCTCTGCCTTGCTACCTCCACGCACTCTGTCCCGCACCACTGCTCCCATCTGGCCGAGGCCAACCTTCTCCCAGCTCCCTCCAGCTGCAGGCACCCACATTTGGGCCTCGTCAGCAGGTTTGGGTGACGCGCAGGGCGCCGTGACGCCACGATGCGTTCGAGGGGAAGAAAACAAGAGGTCCTGTGGGCACGTTGCAGGTGAGGGCTTGACGGGGAGCCCTGCGTTTCATCCCAGTACATCCCAGTACCCAGCTGGACCTGGGCTAGCACCAGTAAGCCAAGGCTGGGAGGTCAGTGACTCACTGTCGGATGGAGCAAGGATCCTGACGGTTGCGGCTAGCAGGAAGCGTCTTTCCATCGGGCTCAGCTCCTCCTGCGGTGACTCACTTCCAGCCAGGAGATCCTACAGCCTCCAGTCCGGTCCGTGGGAAGGGAAACCAAAGGGTTGTCTTCTGCTCCTAGGGAGTTTCATGGTTTAATCCTCACTGGATGTGTAAATGCTGCCTAATCCCACTGCTCCAGGCCTGCTCCCCCCGCCCCCCCTCCCCGAAAAGGCATCAAAGCCTCCCCTCGCAGCTATTAACGCCCAAAAAAGCAGAGTTTCTGAAGTGTGGGAGCTCATGAGAGCAAATAAAGTCCTCCTTATTTTTGCAGGCTGCACCCCTGGGCTCCACACCAGTCCACTTCTGCCTTTTCCCGACCCTTAGGACGGCTCATCCGGGGGTCACCCCGTGCCCATCTCTCTGTTTCAGGCTTCTGGACACCTCTCGCAGCTGCAACTCCATCTCTGTACAGATGTAGCTGTCTACTCATCCATCCTTCATCATCCTTTCCCCTCTAGCTACCACGTGCCTGGCCATGCGCTTTGCTGTCCTGCTACCGAACTCCCTCCCCTCTCCCCTGCGCATGCTCCTGAAATCCCAGTAAAGCCCATAAAGTCAACTCTTTTCTCCCCTGGTGACCTGGACCCCGTTCCTTGCTTTAAAAGGAATTTGTTTGAAGCAAAGATGCATTTTGGTGTGCAGTCACCTCTCTCTGCGCAGAACTGGAGAGGATCCAGCAAGGCAAAGCCACCCTGACCTCCCTCCGCCCCATGCAGAGCGCCACGCGATCCTCCGACATCAGCTCAAGTATTTGCGGGAAAGCGAAGCTCAAAACTGCTGTTAGCAACAAGACAAACATTCCTGGTGGGTTCTGCTTAATCTGTGAGGGAAAACAGCCCCTGGAAAAAAAAAACAAACCCTGCAAGAAGGTGTTGGAAGAGCAGAGGTTGAATTTGCCGCAGGGGGGGGTCCCTGCCCGAGAGCATCTTCCCTGGCTGGGAATCATAGAATCATAGAATCACTTTGGTTGGAAAAGCCCTTTAAGATCATCAAGTCCAACCTTTAGCCTAACCCTGCCATCCCACCACTAAACCATGTCCCTAAGCACCTCGTCTGCCCTTCTTTTAAATACCTCCAGGGATGGGGACTCCACCACCTCCCTGGGCAGCCCATTCCAGAGCCTGACAGCCCTTTCTGTG